GTTGGAGTCGGTAAAGACTTCATAGACTTTTACACCTCTTTTAGAATTGTAGTTGTAGCCCCACGAGATATGTGGGGCATTGAAATCTCCTCCTATGAGTATGGGAATGCCTGGATAGGTGGTCCTGATATGATGAAGCCAGCCTAGGTTGGAGGGTGCATTCCGTGGCCTCCCATAAAATGACGCAAGAAGCAGGGGTGTCTTGGCCGGGCGTGCCAAGACTGCAACCACCTCTTGCTGTTGATTACACCATCTCTGGAGGTTCACCGGTGTTTGAGGGACATGGTTTGCGACATATATTGCCGCCTTTCCTGGTTTATCTGAGTGAGAGCCTGTTCGTCTATCCGGAATCGAAGGGGTGTGATAGCCAATGAAGTGTGCGAGAGCGCTAAGTTTATTAGATTCCTGTAAGAGGAGCGCCCACACATGAAGTTTGCCGAAAAGAATCTTGGTCTTGAGTTCTCCAACTTTGTTATGGAGCCCTCGGCAATTCCATTGTAGGACGACCGGTTGCTGTTGAGACTTAGCCATGGCGGAGGCAAGTCTCTATCAGCTGCTTCAATTTGTTTAGGGTGTCAAGTACGGCCATCCAATAGGCCGGATCAAAGGGGGTCGTGTTTTCCGTCTGGAGTGGCATAGGAGCAGGCGATATTTGCGTGCCTGCATGTTGTGGCGTAGCTGCGCGTTCTTTACGACGAGCCGTGACGCCCGCCTTCCTCTGGCGTAGAAGTTCGATCTGCCGTGACAACTGCGCTATCTCTGTGTCCAGATCGTCCTGTGTCACGGGAATTCCGGTTGGCTCTGGGGGATTCCCAGAGGTGAGGTGGGCCGATTGACGACCTTTCTTTCCAGGTCTCTTCAGGGCGGCGGCATACGACGAGGGACCCTTTAATGCTGTCTCCTCTGCCTCCTCTGGCTGCGTGTTTTCCGCGGACTCTAATGCCTGGAAACTGTTGTAAAGAAGAAGTGGCGCGGAGATGTTCTTGAGGCGGCCTCGCGCACGGGCTGAGGCCCTCTGCTTGGTCGGGCATTTCGAAGATGTTATTTCGTGTTCATCAGTCTTGCAGAGACCGCATCGGTAGCGTGGCTGGCCCTCTGATGTTGTCCTTTCAGGGTCAATGGTTGCTTTTGGACAATATTTTTGCAGGTGCCCCAGTTGATAGCACCGATAACAATACACAGCACGGGGCCGGTAGAGCTTCGGGCGTACAATACATCCGTTATAATAAAACTTTTCTGGTAGGGTCTGAGGTCCTTGTGCCGTGACAAGGTAAGTCGTGCTAGCGCCCATGCGCCGAACTGCGAGCACGGTGTGAGTCTGGGATTTCAAGTCCTGTATGATCGTAGCACAAGAGTCGGTGGGGTCTAGGCCGTAGACAACGCATCGTTGCACGTTGGGCCCAGATGCGAAGTATGCTTGGACTGACAGTTGGTTGTCGGCATTAATAGGGATTCGGCTAATTGCGCAGATCTTATCGGCGTCCTCTATGGAGGCAAGGTGCACAGTTATGGTGTTCGAGGCCTTGTGGATCACGAACCCTTGATAGCCCCGAGTGCCAAGGCACTGGTCTATAACATGCTGTATGCATTTTGTGAGAACGGCGGTGACATCGAACCTCACGCTTGGTCTAATGTGTACGCGGAATGATCGATCGGGAGAGGGGGTCGGGTAAGGACTAATGGAGGGGACCGGGGCGGCCTTCACCTTTTTGGGTGGTGGGATCTCCAGCGTGTCGTCCGCCGTCCAGGTTGGAGTGGAAGCATGCTGGCTCGCTCCTCCAGGTAGAGATTCCTGAGAATCTATATCTTGGGTCTGTTCGATGAGAGCGTCAGGTGATGTAGCTGGTTGCTGTGCAAGGGAAGCCATCACTGAATTCAATCGTGAGCTGGACGTGTCATCAAAAGGGCTCAGCGAGTGGAGCGGCGTCGAGGAGGGCGCGCTCCCGTCTGCTGTAGGCGCTTGCAGAGCCTCATCCGTTGCCGCCGCGGGTTGCTTTTCTCCGCCGAGGCCAGTTGTAGCCACTCTAGGCCTAACCGCCGACCCAGGTCTTCGGGCGCCGATTTTCAGTATACGTGCCGGTAGAAACGATGATCTGTCGGTGTCAGCCGTGTTCGGTGGTGGTAATACACGCCTGTGCAACTTGTGAGCTCTAGAATGGCCGCTGTTCTTTTTAAAACGAGCCAAAACTGCGGGAAGTTCGAAAGGAAGCTGCTCGAACTCAAAACTTCGTCTTCTTCTTCTATGTATGATTCAATACAGTTCCGCACAGGCTGCCTTGAAAGTTTGGGTGTCCCACCTACTCAATACTCGATTGTTCTCAAGCGTGTCCTCATGAGATCGCTCACCAATGACCTTGCTGTTCTGTTCAGACAGAACATAAAGGAAAAGGAGTCACCAACCGAAGCAGGTGATATGCAGACCGCTACCAGCGTCTCAGCCGAAGTTGCAAATATCTTGAGATTTCTTCGGATCCAAATAGCCGCGAGGAGAGTCAAGGAGGACTTCAGTGGTCTTTACCTGACCCACCACAAGAGGACCGAAGGGGGACACGCCCTTCAAGCGCCCAGCACAGTCTTCCGTCGGCTCTCGCCCTCCCGACTTTATCGGTCGCAACGGAACCCGGGCCATGCCCACTTTGTACCGGCACCGGACACCAACTGCAGGACTGCAATATTGACATATCTTCCGACAGGAAACGAAACCGATTGAGAGCTGCAAGGTGTTGTTTCAGATGCTGCAAGGTCAACCACGTAGCCCGCAATTGCCGTACGTCGACACGATTGCTATGCGGTACCTGCAGCGGACGCCATATCACCGTTCTCTGTGACATATGGCGCTTCCCTCAAGTCGACTCAAGAACGAGCTTCACCGGTTTCGGTGAATTACGTACAGACGAACACCGAGGCCTTCAAAACAACGTGACCACTGCTCCAACTACTGCACGGGGGTGTCATCGGTTTTGCTTCAAACCGCGAAGGCCCGGGCTACAGGCACCACCGACAGCGCAATCGTAAGGGTTCTTCTGGATACCGGAAGCCAGCGGACATTTATAAAACGAGAGTCCTCGGAGAGGCTTCGGTGCCCAGTTCTCGGTACCGAGGGGCTTACCATCTACACATTCGGAAACACTAAACGCCCAACTAATTATCGCTGCCGCCGTGTCGAATTGACGCTACAGAGCCAATACAGAACAAGAAAGGTTACCGTGGAGGCGCTTGAAGTGTCCGAACTGTGTACTGTAACGACGCCGCCTCTCGACAACGATATCCTAAATCAGCTACATTCTGAAGGGCTGATTGAGGCTGACGTCGGCCCCCGTAGTTTACAGACAGACACAGAGTTCGGTGTACTTATCGGCTCCGACGTCTACTGGAAGGTAGCAACTGGACAAATTCACCGTCTAAGTAAGCATCTGACGGCAGTACACACCATCTTTGGATGGATGGTACAAGGCCGCTACATGTGTCCAATGAGTGACCGAAGTAACACCACCGCCGTTTCAACAACCAGCTGTGAAACATCGTACTCCGAAATACTACCTAATCCATCTGAGATGTGGCGACTGGACACTATCGGCATCTCCGACCTTCCCTCATCGGACCCAGCAGCTCACCCAGCGTTGCTTCAATTCAGCGAACAGATCGTTAAAAAGCAAAACGGCGACGATGCGCGCGTGTATGCGGGGGTTGTGTTAAGCGAGGCGTCGACGCTCTCTGACGCGTTTTGTCGTCCACAGTTTTATTCTATTCCTTTGCGAAACGAATAAAATGCAGGTAAAAGAGAAATGGAAAACTTGACGAAGGCGAACCTCATCAAAGCGCTTCACCAGAGAGGCGTGTCAGTGCCACCTGGCTCGCCGAAGAAAGAACTCCTCGTTGAGTTGTACAGGCTGCACGTTTTGAACGACGATCGTTTCACATCCGGCGATTACTCGAGCGACGAGGACGTCCGAGATACCTCCAAGGAACGCCACGACAGCTTCATGCACCCGGAAGTGTTCGACAGCTTCACGCCGCTTTCAGACAACGCCTTGTTTGCCAAGCCCCGCGACTTTGGTTTCCAGGCAGGCCCTGTTGTAGCCTCGATTCGGAGCCTGTACGAGAGGCAGCTTCAGCAGCTGCTGAACAACGGCAGTGTCCCGACCACCCCATCCGTCCCAACCGACGAGTTCTCTGCCACAGAGGAAGAGGAGCCTCAAGTCATCCCCGAGGACAACTCTGACAAAGAGGACGGTGGTGCGCCGCTGCAGAAGGGACCTACGACATTCTTCCCTCTGAGTACCTAGAGTGTCCTATTCAACCTGAGCAACAGCAGCTCCCCCGTCGTGAACGAGGCCGTGCAGCCGAGTCGGCGTTCGTTCACCTACAGCACCCGCAGCAGCAGCCTTCCTCAGGCCGGTTCACCTGTCCATATGACGCTGCGTTCCAGAGCGAGAACACGTGGAGAGGACATTGCGGGCCACAGTGCGGTTACCACGCGGGCTGTTGGCAAGCAGCGGCGCATGTCCATAGCAGTCAAGGTGCTCATCGTGCTGGTGGTGATCACTGTGAACGTGTTCATCAACCTGCGAACGCCAGCATCCGCCTTTGACGAGCAGTCAAAGGCGCTGTTCAGCGCCTTTGACTGCTCGAGGCGGGATCATCTCCTTCGTTGCCGCAGGGGGGGGAGGATGTTGCGCATAGGAGTCGAGCAGGGGTCGTTTAAAACAAACATCTTAATCAGTCGCTCCCGCATCGCTCGCATTAAACCAGTAACGCTACCCCGTTTGGAATTGCTAGCTTGCTTGCTAAGAGTGCATCTCTTTGACTACGTAAAAAAAAACACTAAGGATCGCTCATCTGCAAGTTCAATTTTGGACTGACTCCGAAGTTGTCCTACGCTGGATTGCCGGTGACGCAGCAAGATGGCAGCAGTTCGTGCGCAACCGTGTGATCGAAATCCAGCGCATCACCGAAGGATTTCCTTGGACCGATTGCCCGAGCCACTATAACCCAGTAGAATGCATCCGCGTTTTGGGGGACAACGACGTGATCAGCTTTGTTTGGGGGAAGCGCGACTTCGAGAAGAACAGCTCTGCTCCAAACTGCGTCGTGCGGAACGGCGGAGTGAAGCGACATTTAGAGGAGCCCAACCTACTACCCCCAAAGAAAAAAAGCCCAAGGTCGCAGCTAGCACTGAACCCACCGTTAATCTGTTTCCAGCCGTCTTCGTTTCACTTAAGGTTCCCGTAGAGCCAAAGTTAAACCACAAGCGATCTGAACATGAACCCCACTGGGACGAAATGGAAGCAGACGGTGCCCAGCTGAAAGTAGCCGACGACAGAGGGCAAGGAGATGCAGACGACGGATTGCAGGCAGGAGCGGAAAACGAAAGACAGAGCGATGCAAACGAAGACGAGGCTTTTGCACCGAACGACTGTTCCACTCCCATCTTACAAAAAATGCTAATGGATAAGTCAGAACAGCCACCGCCATGTTCAGAGAAATCACTGAAAGCTTGCAAGTTTCATTTGCCTGAATTGGAACGTGCAGTTAAGGCTGGGAGAGGAGGAGCAGATTTTACGGCCGTGCCTCTACCTCGCAGGATGACGCCTCGAACTGTGACAGTACAGGGTACGCCGCTCTCGTCGACCACTGCCGAGCCGGAGACGAAATCGGAACCCTACTCCCCCGCGAGACCTTACGCAGCTTTCCCGAAACTCAACACGCCTTCGAAGGTCGGAGAGGCGATAGCGTTCAAGGTGCTTGAGCTCGATGCCAAATACTGCCGCAATATGTTAGGGTACAAGGAGAGCAAAGTCCGGTACCACAGCGACACTGCCTCGACTACAGTTCGGCGACGTGGTCATCGTAGAAGGCGACAACACGCCTCGTCTGCTATGGAAACTTGGTCGGGTAACGGAGATGTTATCCGGCAGACATGGCGTGACTTGAGCATGCGAACTACGACTCTCCAGCGGCTCGGAAGTACGCCGTCCTGTTCAGCGCCTTTGACTGCTCGAGGCGGGATCATCTCCTTCGTTGCCACAGGGGGGGAGGATGTTGAATATTAGAAGAAGACGAGAGCCCACAAGAGCACGAGCTCGTGGGCCAGCGCACCCGGGGAATCTGTCGTTCAAATATAAATGGAGACGAGCGGTATGGAGCGGTTTTAGTCATTTGCTGAACTTCTGATGTTTGAGTGCTGACTGGAACCAGTGCGGTAGTGGCCAGAGAAGGTACAGCAATATCCAAAATTTTGTCCGCGAGCTCGGCTAAGGAGTCCAAAGAAATGTCGCTGGACGTCGCCAAAATCATGCGTGCGTTACTCGGGATTCGTTGCAGAAAGAGTTCTCGCAGTATGGTGCCCACGCGTGGCCACCAAGGCGGCCAGCGTGGGACGCGCGTGGCCGCCTCGGTGGCTCCGATACCAGAAGGCTGGCCTACGGATCCCCATGTGGCGGGTTTGAATCCCGGCCCAGGTGCCTGCAATCTGACGGAAGCTTATTGCGGAGGAGGCGCCGTGTAACCGAGCTTTCGGTTGCACGTCCAAAGATCCCAAGGTGGTCGAAATTAATCCTCCGTGCTCCGCTGGGGCGTGCCAGATGCCCGTCGTTGATTTGGCACGCAAAATCCCCAAATTCGATTTCGATTCTTAAGACACGCGTCTTTAAAAAAAATATTTTTTACGCGAAAAAAACAACAAAAACACCTTTCTTTTCAGCAATATTGACGGCGCGAGACGAAATTTAGTGGGTGATCACCTCCTTTCCACTTGTGAGTCTCTCTTGGCGTTTCGGGCGCGTGGAGGAGAGGACGATCGGCTTCGCCTTCACGTTGTGCGAAAGACCATTTCGTTGAGCGAAGGACCATCTCACGGAATGGTCATGGAACAAGGTGGAAAGTTGGGGGAGTTGGTTGATGGTCATATTAAATGGGTTAAAACACATAAAAGGGCCCGATGTACAAGAAAGGAACTGCAACAAGGTGGAAAGTTGGGCGAGTTGGTTGATGGTCATATTAAATGGGTTAAAACACATAAAAGGGCCCGATGTACAAGAAAGAAACTGCAACAAGGTGGAAAGTTGGGCGAGTTGGTTGATGGTCATATGGATTTCGCGCACAGAATTTCAAAGGAATCTCTTGCCGTCAGTATTGCTCTAAATATTTTTTCGCGTAAAATTTATTTATTGACGCGCGTGTCCTAACATGACTCTTTAAAGCAATGTTGTTTTTTTCACGTGGCCTTAAAGTAAACACCGGAGTAACTATACCATTTATATTATTGTTGCAACTGCAAATTCTTTTGCAAAAAGAAAAAAGAACAAGCACAACAAAACGTTAACAATATACAGGGTCGCCTAATGGTTGTTTAATTTTTATGCCGGAGTACATGGTACTCATTAAAATACCTCAAATGTCCCTTCAACAAGTCACTAACATAAGGTATTTTCTTAGCTTTCAGTGGCAATTGTGGTGGCTGCGGAAGAAGAAGAAAACGTCTTCCTCGAGCCCCTCGGTACAATGATCATCACGAGCAGACACAGGTCAGAATGACTACAACGCTCACTGCCGTCTCCACGATTAAATTGTGATATATATATAATATTGAGTCACATCAAGTGGTGACCCGGACAAAAAACACAGGCCATGCAAGCTGCCGGTGAGCCCCCTTCAGCCATTACTGCCGTGACGGTCAAGCTCCCGCCCTTTTGGCCAGCAGATCCAGGTCTCTGGTTTGCGCACATTGAGTCTCTTTTCGCAACACGCAACATATCACGACAAGAGACAAAATTTCATTACGTAATCAGCGCCCTCCAACCAAGTGAAGCTGGAGACGCACGGGATATTTTTATAAACCCCACCGCCACTCACCCATACGACAAGATCAAAGAAGAGCTCATAAAGCGCACGACGGCATGAGAACGACGACGTCTTCAATAATTTCTTACAACTGAAGAGTTAGGGGACCGCAAGCCATCTCAATTGCTAACATCATTGCGGTAACTTCAAAGAGATCGCGCAGTTTCCTTCGACGACACCATACTGCGAGAACTCTTTCTGCAACAAATCCCGAGTAACGCGCGCATTATTTTGGCGACGTCCAGCGACATTTCTTTGAATTGCTTAGCCGAGCTCGCGGACAAAATTTTGGATATTGCTGTACTTTCTGTGGCCACTACCGCACTGGTTCCAGGTAGCACTCAAACGTCAGAAGTTCAGCAACTCCGAGAGGAAGTACGCCACCTCACTCATTTGGTTGAGACAACTCTGCGACTGCCACGCTACCCGAGCCGACGCAGCACAAACCAGCATCAGACAGATAAATTCTCGACTCGAGGAGACAGCCGATCGCCTCGTAGAAATTTCTCTCGCGGCAGCCCACGAGACTCGTCTCCGAACAGTCAAATATGCTGGTACCATCCAAGTTTCGTAACTACGCACGCCAGTGCCAGAACCCCTGCTCTTTTCAGGGAAACACCCGGACCAACCACTGACGGCGGCCAGTTCAGTTGGCTCGTCCTCCGGCCGCCCCACGCTCTTCTTCGTTTCTGATCGCCAAACACATTTCCGATTTCTAATTGATACAGGAGCAGAAGTCAGTGTTATTCCTGCCACCTCGCAAGACCGCAAAATCAAAACTACTACTAACGCTCTGCTAGCAGCCAATGGAACTGCCATCACCACCTACGGTGAGAAATCAGTAACTGTAGATTTCGGACTACGACGTACGCTCCGATGGGTCTTTATAATTGCAAATGTTCAATATGCCATCATTGGGGCTGATTTTCTAACTCATTTCAGTCTTCTGGTCGACATGATGCACCACAAACTGTTAGACGCCACCACTCAAATTGGCGTGCGCGGTGTTGTGTCTAATCCACCACTGCTAAGTCCTACACTCTTCCGTCTGAGAACAAAGACAAACTAATACACCATAACTGGAAACTTCCTCAGCCTGACACAACCATGCAACACGGAGCGACCAGTCAAACACTATGTGCAACACTTCATCACAACCACCGGGCCTCCCGTGCATGCCCAAGCCCGTCGCCTAGCTCTCGAAAAACTGCAAGTGGCACGTCAAGAATTTCTGCACATGATGGACTTGGGACTGATACGACCTTCCTCTAGCAACTGGGCATCTCCGTTACACCTAATACCAAAGAAAAGTGGTGACTGGAGACCACGCGGAGATTACCGTGCCCTCAACAACAACACAACCTCTGACCGGTACCCAATTCCTCATCTCCAAGACTTCTCTGCAAATCTTTATGGTATGTCGGTATTTTCAAAAATAGAGCTTGTCAGAGCATGCCATCAAGTACCCATCGTACCTGACGATATTCCAAAAACAGCAATTGTAACTTCATTTGGCCTCTTCGAATTCGTTCGGATGCCGTTTGGGTTACGTAATGCTGCCCAGACCTTTCAACGGTTTATTGACCAAGTTTTCAGAGGACTCGACTTCTGCTTCGCTTATCTTGATGATATTCTAGTGGCCAGCGCATCCAACGAAGAACACGAACGACACCTATATCAACTATTCAAACGTTTAGATGAACATGGCGTCGTTATTAATATCGCAAAATGTGAATTCGGGGTGCCAACTCTAGATTTTTAGTCCACCAGGTTGACAATCAAGGGCTTCGACCACTCGACAAGGTGAAAGCTATTCGCGACTATCCAACACCGTCCAGCATACGGCAGCTGAGAGAGTTTCTGGGACTAGTAAATTTTTACCGCCGCTTTATTCCCGGTTGCGCGGAAATCGTACAACCGCTGAATGATCTATTGGTCGGCCCAAGAGATTTCAAACCTCCGTTCACGTGGTCTGATTCAGCCTCAGCCGCATTCAGCACCATTAAGACTGCGACTGCCGACGCCACCTTGCTAGTGAACCCTAAGCCTGAAGCACCGACCAATATTATGGTAGATGCTTCTGGTACAGCCGTCGGAGCAGGACTACAACAATACATGAGTGGACAATGGAACCCTCTCGCTTTCCTTTCAAAAAAATTAACTGCGACAGAAACCCGCTACGGCGCCTTTGGGCGTGAACTTCTTGCCACTTACCTCAGCGTCAAACATTTTCGTTATTTCGTTGAAGGTCGCACATTTTTTATCCTCACGGATCACAAGCCACTGACATTTGCCGTAACATCGAACGGCAATGCTTATACACCTAGAGAACAAAGACAGTTGGCATTCATCAGTGAATTCACGACCGACATCCGGCACATCTAAGGGAAGCACAACGTGGTTGCTGATATGTTATCATGGATATTGCTGCTTTGAAGCTACCGGGCGTCGAACAGATTGATTTTCCGGCTATTACAAAACACCGACTCCAGGACACTGGGTACCAAGGTACATCTCTGCACCTGAAGAAAACAAACATACCGTACACGAATATTTCGCTCCTGTGTGATTTTTCAACGGGAACAGCACGACCCTATATTTCACCCGCATTCCGCAAGAAAATCTTCGATGCCCTACACGGACTGTCCCATCCCGGAATACGAGCTACGCAGAAACTTTTCAGCACCCGTTTTGTCTGGCCAAAGATGAATACAGATATCCGAACGTGGTCAAGATCATGTACAACTTGTCAAAAATCAAAGGTTCATCGTCATATCATAACACTAGTCGCGCAATTTCCACCAGTTACGGGACGTTTTGAGCATGTTCATCTAGATTTGGTCGGTCCATTACCTCATTCCAACGGCTTCACATACCTCTTAGCATGTGTGGATCGTTTTACACGGTGGCCCCAGGCAGTCCCGATTCCCGACATGACAGCTGCAACAGTTGCCCGAGCTTTCGTCACAGGGTGGATTGCCCGTTTTGGAGTACCATGAATAGTCACTACGGACCGCGGACGACAGTTCGAGTCGTACCTTTTTGCTGAACTGATGCGACTCCTTGGCATCAAACGCCTTCGCACAACGGCGTACCATCCCGCCGCAAATAGAATGGTTGAACGATTTCATCGACAACTAAGATCATCACTGCGTGCTCACAGCATCATCCCCTGGACTGAAGCGCTACCCATTGTTCTACTAGGAATTCG